CAGGCTCCTGTTTTTCTGGAAAAAGCCCAACCCAGAGTCCCCCTGCCTGGGCTTTTGAGAGAAAAGGATGTGCAAATATTATGAGAGCTGCTAGCCTCCCGAATCTGGGTTCTGAGTTCTGTGAGAGCAGCTTTAGAGAAAGAAACCAGAAAAAGCTCTGCAGAGACCCCAGCTTGCCCCATCTTCTGTAGTGCCTCTCCTTACTCCCATGAGGAGCAACCTCTCCCCTAAGCCCAGGCCTTCTAGAAACACTACTATTCTTAGCTCATGAAGCAAGACAAAGCAATTCTCCTTCTCTTGGTCTGTGAATGTCCAGTCATATCCTCAAGCCTATGTTTTCAAATCCTATGACTTCATTAACATCTACTTTTCCTAGAGACAAATTTCACAACCAGCAAGAGTGATTCTATGACAGTTGCTGAAATAGCAATTTTTTTTTCTCTTTACCAATTTTCCATTTTCCAGACAAGGAAACTGAAATCAGAGCGGTTAAGTCACACACTCAAGGTCACGAGATTGGGATCAGATCCAGGAGTCAGAGCCAGGATTCAAACCCAGAAATGTCTGGCTACAAAGCCTGGCTTCAGCTTTTTCCTTTTTCTCTTTTTACTCCAAAAAGGAGGAGCCCATCACTGGACTGTCTTCACCAAGTGCCGTTCAAGTCCAAGGGCTCCTAATTTCTGAATACCTTGTTTCACAAGTACCAGTTTCTGGTAGAGAGAATCCGATTGGTCAGATCAATTGTGCCTTCTTCACCAACCAACTCTGTCCAGGGTTAGCAAAGGCTGCCAGGAATCACTGAGTCAGAAGGACAGCTTCTAGGGAATATGAGAGATGTGGGAGCTGGAAAGTCATCCAATAGAAGCCCACTACTGATTAGCAAATTTTATTAGGCAGAACCAGTTGCTTTCATATCGCTGTGGACACTAACATCTATAGCCATATAGAATTGTCATAATTTTTCACCAAATGCACTCTGCTTCCCCACCCTGAACAAGCCCCCTCTGGCTCAAGAGCAGAAAATAGAAACACATTTCCTGTTTCCCTGGGCTCCAGCGTGGGGTGATTACTTGGCAAATAGCCCCGTCACTTTTGGTCATCTTGGGCATTTTTCCTGCCCAGCAGCTCCCCTTCCCAAACAGACCCAGAGACATTTCTCAAAATGTTCTGCTCAAACAAGCATGTGACAAAACAGCTTGTCAGTTTGTCTCTTTCTTGCCGAAATGAGACCACGATGTCAAAACCCAGTCCTTTATTCATTTAGAAGCGATCAGATAATGGAGCCCCGGTTTAATTTCCCGGGGAAAATAAGATGCTTCTTGACTAGCAAAGCTCCCTCAAACCCTGGGAAGAGGCGTAATTATCTTCTTCAGAGTCAATCCCTTGTGGGTCTCCTAATTAATCGTAAAATATAGATGAGAGTTGTTCAGAAAGTAAGTTTACAGGATTAATTACTGGTGTATTATGCATGGTACGATCACTGTGTTAGTTGGACAATTTTGTTGGGCACATCTAATAGAATAACTGATGACAGTTTCCAAGTCCCTCCTCGGTCAAGTGCATGAGTTGAGAGGAATGACTGGAAATTCCTTCTGCTTTTGACAGGTGAGTTTTCGAGGTACACGGGCGTTTTCATGGGAATTCAGCCCCGCTCTGGGATCCTGCAGGCCCTTGGTTGAAAATGACTAATGATGTACTCCTATACCTACAAGGTCATCACACACAGGATCACACATGTGTGTACATGGGGCAAGTGTCTATGTACACACACGTATGCACTGACACAGGCACATGTATGCTTTCTGTCATGTGCACACACATGCATGCATATGCATCACACACACACACACATAGACACAAGAAGATGGTATGCAGAGAACAAAGCATCAAAGTCCAGAGAAGTGGTTTTGAATCTCTGACCTCAGACCTTGGGCATCTTCCTACTTGGAGATGGAGCCACCTGAGGACATTTTGCATATTTACAGCCTCCTGTTGGGGTCAGGAACATTAATATGAGCAGGGCTTAGATCTTTCATTGTTAATCTTTGTGGCAAAGACATACACGCATATTTGGAAGTTGTCTTGCCTTCATGTGGGAAGAATGCTTGTGGGGACACATAAAGATAGATTCACTATTAACAGTCAGATGTTTTATTTCTAAAAATGTTGGGAGCCTATCAGAACACAAGAGCACTACATGAGATTCCAGAAGAAAATCTTACTTTCTTTCCTTTGCTGATAAAGAGTCTAATGGTTTGGTGAGGAATGGGGGTTACTATGGGGAGGAGCTCGGCTTTCCTGGTGGCTCAGGCTGTAAAGAATCTGCCTGCAGTGCAGGAGACCTGGGTTCTGTCCCTGGGCTGGGAAGTTCCCCTGGAGGAGGGCATGGCAACCCACTCCAGTATTCTCGCTGGTCGAAACCCATGGACAGAGGAGCCTGGCAGGCTACAGTCCATGGGGCCGTAAAAGAGTTAGACACGACTTCGTGACTAAACATTTGTTGTTGTTATTCAGTTGCCAAGTCACCAAATAACATTAGGCTACTGTGAAAAAAGGAGGGACATTTTCACCTCTTTCCCCCAAATTCATGCCTCTGCATGCCCACTTCCTAGTTCTTCCCAAGCATGCAGATGTTGGCCTGGCTGATCAGAGCCCACAGTTCACTAGCTGGCAGGGCTGCTGCACCTTAAGAGTAGAACAGAAGGCTCTCTGCTCCCTCTTCCCCTTCCTGTCTCAGACTCCGGGATGAACAGCTGGATAACTATACCCCAGAGGGTGTGTCTGAACCACTGGGTGTGGACTGGAGTCCATGAGAAGAACACAGGCGAGAGAGCCTATGCCTCTGTCCATGGTGGTCCAGAAGGGGTCATACAGAGGATACACTCAAGCTGCTCCTTAAAAGAAGAGCTGCTATCCCAGAAAAAGAGAAAGTTGCAGACAGAGCAGACCATGAGCGATGTGGAAGCTTTAAAGACAGGGCATGTGGGGGACTGCTGGGTCGTTTGCCAGTGCTGGGCAGTGTTGGGGCAGGACAGGTATGAAGGAACTGAAGCATCAGGGTGAAGAATCTGGATGTTATCCTGTAGGCAATGGGAGGTTTTAGAGCAGAAGAGCGACATAATTTGTGCTGTGGGTATTTCAGACCAGTCACAAGTGTGGAGAAAGACCAGGGCAGGGAGTTCTACACAGAAACTGAGGCAGCAATCAGCGACGGAGGTGTTCTGTCTAAGGCAGTGACAGCGAGGGTGGAGAGCAGGGGCTGGCGCAGGGAAAAGGAATGAGGGACAGAGGTATTCCAGGGCTCCATGGGAATTGACTGTTCACGAAAAGAGATGAAGAGCAAGAGGTTGAGATGGCTCTGGGTTCAACTAGTGAGGTCTGGGTGCATAGTGATGCTTCCACAGGAGGGGACACAGATAGGAGTGTGCAAGGGTGCACACTCACACACACACACACATGGATGTACACACTCTTCAGCCAATGGTTATCAGACCCTCATTCTCCAGAATTCTCTTCCCTTACACCTCCTCTCTATGACCTAACTAACATAATGAAAATATTTACAAATATTATTATTTGTAAATAGCACTCTACACTTGATAAGAAATGTCCATACATAAACAGCTCCATGAGGTAGGCCAGTGGAGCCTCAGAGAGGGCAAGCCACTAGCCTAATGTCACCCAGTCACAAAATAAGAAAGTGCAATCTTGACCTCTGACTTGCAGTCTCACTCTCCTGCTATGCCCTAGTGAGGCTGGAAAGAAATTTGGAGATCAGCTTGTCCAGCCTTCTCATTACCCTTCTTTATGACACTTCGTGCTGTAGTAAGGAAACTCCTTTTGATGGTTCTTTTTGCTGCCACCATCCTATTTCTTTCCTCCAGAAAGGAGTGCAGTCAGAGAGATTATTTTGACGTATTTCCTGAAGACGCTGTTTCTAGAGCGCTTGCCTGATAAAAATGATATATTTATTTGGGCCCGCCAAGAGCTTGCTGAAATGAGGAATTTATCTGCATAGCTTTTGTTATTAAAGTGATTCTTCTTGTTTATTTCCTTCTAAGCTACTGATTCCATCTATAATACATGAGTTTCAGGTAATAGAAATTTTTCATGCAAGTAAATATTTTAATAACAACATTATGGTCTTGATTTGGAGTGTTCCAGGCAATCGTCTGGAGTATTGAACAGGCACTACACTGGGAGCCCAGGGACCTGGGTTCTTGTCTCCACTCGGCGCCTGCGACTTTAGATAAAATCCAGCCCTCTCTGGACCTCAGTCTCCCAATCTGCAAAAGGTGATGCCTATCAGGTGCCCTCCCTGACTCACGGGGGCCACTGTTCAGATCCGATGAGAGGACAGCTCTGAAGATTCCTTGGGGGAAGGGATGCTGCCGGCTTCACCATGCATTAATGGTGGAAGCATGGGGTACTCGCTAGGGTACAGACTTGTCGCCATAACAAGGATATTCAGCAATGCGGTGTCTTAAATAACGCATTTCTCTCACAAAGGCAAGTGGGAGTCTAGAAAGGATAAAGGGCTGCTCCCTCCAAGATCATTCAGGGACTTAGGGTGCTCAGCACCAGCGTCCTCGACAAGGGGCGTCCATCTCTATATCCAAGGTGTCCGCTGCCACGGTTTGTCACTGGGGAATCCAATGACAAAAGAGAATCTAGGTCACCTGGTCCTACCTTTAAGGCATGACCTAGATGGTGGACCCGTCCACTCACCTCTGATTGGCCCAAATTTGTCACATGGGTCACTTGGCTTCCCCAGCCATAAGACAGTTTGGGAAATGTAGTTTCTAGCTTGGTGGCTGTGTGCCCAGCCTCTGCTTAGAAGGAGAGAATGGATGCTAGTGGACACTCAGCATGATGGAGCCTGTGACCACCCACGATAATGAAAGAGGCCACAGGATCTTCAGGAAAAGCAAACAACAGGGGCATGACAGACCTGCCTCATACATTCATATATGTGTATACTCACACGTGCATACCTGCAATCAGAGACAGGCTTGGCTAGGCAAAAGAATGAATGAAGCTCAGCATATCTCCTGGCTTTCAAGATTGTGGTGATCCAAGAGAGAGGTGATGTAGTCGAAGGTAAGGCAATGTGGTTGGAGACAGGTGATGAGTTCAATATCAGTTTTGCCTTCCCCACCCTGGAAGAGGAAGACCTTGTTGAGGAATGTCTGAGGCTCACAAAGCAGGAGAACTCAAATATCTTAGACTTGGGAGGGTCACAGACTTGAGGAGGACAGACCTTATATCAAACACAGTGCAGGTTTTTCCTGCTCCATCGAGCTGGCAGTCCTGTACTGGTCTTTCCCCAAACAAGGCTGTCTTCCCTTCCTTGACCCCCACCAACACATGCTAACACATTCTTTGCCTGAAGTATACACCCTCCAGCCATATGCATTCTGTCTGGGCTATGACTGATGTCCCAAACAAGCTGATCTTTGGTCCAGACTAAATCCAAAGCTCTGACTCCAGCCCCAAGGTCTCCCAAATATTCTCTAGGGTCTCTGCTATGAACCCAAGTGCACACATATCACACCCTTGCCCTAGTCCCAGGCCAAGCTCCCAGCCCATGGCAGAGTCAGAAGACTCACCAGAGTAATGAGAAATGTCAAGTCTGAAGTGACCACAGTGGGGAGAGCTCATGAGTGTGAGTAGTTCATGAGTCACAGTAGACCAGACAGGCTGAGCCTTCAACAGACAGGAGACCCTCAGAAGAGCCTTCAGAGTTCCCTATTTACCCTTCACATACTCCTCAATTTACAGTAACAGCTTCTGTGTATTCTGATCAGTTCATTCATAATTATTTGTCAAAACCACTTTTCCCCTCATTATTTCCCACTGAGAGTGTGAGATTATACAAATTTATGTTGTAGCTGTCACAGAACCTAACAGCACCACAAAGGGAAGAGAAATTAACACCCTTATTAGAGAATTATTATCACTTATTAGAGAATTTTTAGTTTGTCTCTCCAAGAGGAAGTAATTTATTAGATTAATTTTCTGAAGTTGCTTGAAGACATTGTTCTTGTAATACGCCACACCAGAGTGGCATTATCTGCTGTTTTACTACAAAAGGGAGAATCTTTTTTCCAGGAGCTTCAGCAAAAATCCCAGAGAAGGATTTCATTTGCCCAGCTTAGTTCACATAGTCATGTCAGAACCAATCATTGAGGTACAGGACATAAAACAGTCTGATTGGCCAGCTTGGGTCACATGCTCAGTCTTGGATCTCGGGTAATGGGGTCAGTCAAACCATAAGGTCGCCCAAAGCATTTACTGGAGTGGGTAGCTATTCCCTTCTCCAGGGGATCTTCCCAACCCAGGGATTTAACCCAGGTCTCCCCCACTGCAGGGGGATTCTTTACCATCTGAGCCACAAAGGAAGCCCAAGAATACTGGAGTGGGTAGCCTTTCCCTTCTCCAGGGGATCTTCCTGACCCAGGAATCAAACCGGGGTCTCTTGCATTGCAGGCAGATTCTTTTCCAGCTGAGCCACAACAAAGGAAGCTCAAGAATACTGGAGTGAGTAGCCTATCCCTTCTCCAGGGGATCTTCCCGACCCAGGAATCAAACCAGGGTCTCCTGCATTGCAGGCAAATTCTTTAAGAGCTGAGCTACTAGGGAAGCCCTAAAGCAATGTTGAGCAGTCAAAAAATTATATATGTGTTTGGGACATGAATCCACTAAGAAGTGCTATGTTGTACTACCTGAAGACATCAGCTCTATGGAGCTCTGAAGTAGGTATCTTAGACTTGACATTGTCAAGTTTTCTCTTTTTTCTTTCTTTTTGTGGCCCCAGGGCATATGGGATATTAGTTCCCCAACCAGGGATCAAACCCACACGTCCTGCAGTGGAAGCACAGAGTTTTAAACACCGCACCACCAGGGAAGTCACTGTTGTCATGTTTCTATGTGGCCATGAACAAGGCATTTTCCTTCACAGATCCCCAGATTTCTCAAGTGTGACAGGAGGATAAAGAGCTCTGCCAGGCCCCAGAGAGTACTGTGGGGATGGAATGAGATCATGAAGGGACACATGCCAGAGAGGGTAAAGGTGTCCATCACTGGGGAGAAAAAGGGAGCAAGGCTGTCCGTCCTTCTGAACCACATCTCCAAGTTCCCACTGGATCTGTGCTGGAGTAAGGGTTTCTCTCCCACTTATCACTCAATGAAAAACAACTTCACTTCCCATTAATTTGGCCTTCGGATGCTGCTTCTCAACCTCCTACCACCTCCACCCCATAGCCGAGAGGCACATTCTCTGAGCCCAAAGGAGGGGCAATTCATCACTCCCATACAGAGTTCATGCCGTGCAGCCGTGACCTGAACAACACAACCACAATTAGCTAATGTGGATCATTTTCAGCAGAAAATGAAGCATGAAATATGCAAAAATAATGAGGCCTTCACTGAAATTCCAGTAGCTGCTACAGGGTAACCAATTTGAATAGCAGTTGCATTTCCTAGGGAGAAAACCCATTAATAAGGACAATGTTGAAATCATTATGTATGGACCCCAGAACTCACTCAATAATTAATTCAGTCGATAAACATGGTATTAATCCTCAATTCTCCCACAGTGTAACTTAAATGAGGCTTTCATTGAAACATTGGGTCCAGTTTGAGACTTCGAAGCTAAAGAAAGTGGGGACATGTGGTAAGTAACAAAAGAGTCACATTAAATGGCAAGACAAGAAAGAACCTGCCTTGTGACCCAGAGAAGATGCCACATCAACAGGGATCTCAACAAGAGCCCCAGTATCAGAGACTGGCTCGGATGGTCTGTGCCAAGCATGTGCCAAGCTTCCAGGTGGTTCTCCTTACAGATCAGAGGCTAACTCACGACCTTCTCAAACTTATCTGTGGGTGATGCTACCTATGCTTTCAGAGCCTCCTCTGTACTTTCCTTCCAGCTTGCCTTAGATCTCCTAAAGGATGAGGCTCTTCCTCATCCTTTCATCATTGATGGAAAGCATCAGTGTTTGCAGTCAGACCCAGGTCCAAGTCTAGGCTCAGCCACTTACCAGCTCTTTGACTTTCAAATTATGGAGGTTCCTTTCCTAGTCTGTAAATCATAAAAGCGCCTACCTTTTAGGGTTTTTTTGAGGAGTAAAACATAGCGGGTTATAGACATAAGAATTTATAAGAACAAATAACAGAGTATGTCAGGATGTTAAGTACTCAACCATGTGTCTAGTTCAGGATAAGAGCTCACTAAACAGGACTTCGTAACAGTTTCTTTCATCAAGGATGGACCCCTTGGTTCTCAGAGACATGCCACCTGTACTGGTAACCAGTTGCTCTGCAGAGAAGTCAGTTTCACATGCACTTTTCAGCATTGAGGCTGGGTTTTGCTTCTGATACCAGGGCCCCCTGGATCCCAGGAATTATTAAGCCTCCTGAGATCCCACACCGACTGCATTCAGGTTACACTTAATGATCCATCTTCTGAGATACTGCCCATGCATTGACTACCACTGAAGGTGAGTGATATGTACCTAGGGGTGTGTTCTATCGTTCTCTCTAGTTTTGCATATGTTTTAATTGGTTTGGGTTTTTTTTTTTTTTAAAGACCTCCCTAAAATGGGTTGAATTGTACTTCTAAATTCCATGGCTAGCAGCAATACTGTCAGGCTCACAAACGCATTCTTCTTTCCTTCTGCTGGGGAGACCACTTATCTTCTGGTTCAAGGCACCATAAAGAAGGCTGAGCACTGAAGAATTCATGCTTTCAAACTGTGGTGTGGGAGAAGACTCTTGAGTCCTTTGGACAGCAAAGAGATCCAACCAGTCAATCCTAAGGGAAATCAACCCTAAATATTCATTGGAAGGACTGATGCTGAAGCTGAAGCTCCAATACTTTGGCCACTTGATACAAAAAGCCAACTCATTGGAAAAGACCCTGAAGCTGGGAAAGTTTGAGGGCAGGAGGAGAAGGGGGCGACAGAGGATGAGATGGTGGGATGGCATCACTGACTCAATGGACATGAGTCTGAGCAAGCTCCAGAAGATAGTGAAGGAAGGATAGGGAAACCTGGAATGCTGTAGTCATGGAGTCACAAAGAGTCAGACATGACTTAGCAACTGAACAATAAAAAGGTACCAAGACACTCTTGGTGAAGCCTAGGTCCCTGTTGTGACTGGTAATAAGATAAAGGAGACCCAAACACCCTTAATTTTTTAGTAGCACCAAGAATCATAAATAATCCATGCAGAACTTCTTAAATGAAAGAAACAAATTATTAACTATGACAGCTGAAATATAATAAGACTCTAATTGACACATTTCCTAATTGTTCCTTGCCCCAGATCATAGGCAGAGTAAGTGATATAATTAGGAATAGAACTCAAATTTTCTTCTTCTAAATTTGGTACTTTTTCTATTAAAACCGCACATGGCATCAGTAAAAACAATTACTGCAGCGAAAGAATAGTAGCTAATATTTATTAGGGGTCCTTCTCTGCCATGACTTCTACTAAGCTCTCTAATCTTTTGTAATTTGGAATTTGTAGACTCATACATGTCAGTTTTTGTGAATATTTAATGCTTCATATGTGCTTGAAAATAATATCTATTCACTGACTAGAACTTCATATGTATGCACATATCCATGTACAAATATATATGATCAGCTAATAACCATGTTAATAAAATCTTCTATACCCTTACTTATTTTTATCACCTTGATCTGTTGATTTCAGAGATAAAGAGCTCCTTGCTGATTATAGATGTATCAGCTTTGTCCTGCATTTTCACCCATCAGTTTTTGTTTACTATATTTTTGAAGCCATGGTCTTAGGTAACAGAAGGTCCATGATTGCTCTATCTTCTTCAGTTGATTGGACCTTCTATCAATACCAGCCACCCCACTTTATCCTTTTAGTACTTTTTATCTTGAATTATACATTATCTAATGTCAACATAGAAACATCTGCTTTTTGTTATTGTTAGGATTTTCCCAGTGTAGCTCTTCATATCTCTTTATTTTCCACATCCCTGTGTCATTTTTGTTCTGCATGTGCCTCTTGGAAATAGCATAGAGCTAAATTTTGGAACCCAACCTGATATTTCTCTCAGTGGGTATATCTGCGTCACTCACGCATTTTCTTTTTTTTGTCTGTGCTGTGTCTTCACTGCGGT